TTTATCCAAGTATTTAAGGCACAAATTAAAATTTGGCACACATGAAGATTTCTCCCTTCCAAAAACTAATCTACCAGTAAAGGAAATGTCATTTGTATGTGTCTATGTGTTGGTGTGCAGGCACGCTTGCTTTTGTTACCTGGATTTTGGACATGTAGGGGGCTTATTTCTAACGTATCATATCTCCTCTGTCAAACTACATTACAAAACAGCTCTTTCAAAGTGGCATCTATCTAAAGAGTGAGGCACTTTTTCTTTTTAAATGCATCCTGCAGAAACTGATGAGAAGTTCTTTTTAAAGAAAGGTATCCAAGCATATGTAAAATTCCCAGAAAGAAAGCCACAAATGTAAAATAAAGAAAATATTTTGAGATAAGCTCACCCATAATAGTCCAAATTGAATACCACCCATTTCATGCAGTTTTCTCCAGCCATGATAGCTTGCTTTACTTGTCCCAATATATATATTTGTGAGTGCATTTGTGTGTGTGTGTGTGACAGATCAGTTTTGAACTGAATGTTTGTATTCCCTGCAAAGTGCATATGTTAAAGCCCTAACTCCCAGTGTGGACGGGTTTTGAGAAGCCTAAAAAGAGATAATTAAGGTTAAATGAAGACCTAAAGGTAGAGACCTAATCCAATAGGATTAGCATCTTCATAAGAAGAGATAAAAGAGAGAGCTTCATACCCCTTCACCCCTGCCCTCACCCCTGTGTGTGTCCTGGGCCAGCCAGGAAAAGACCACACAGGCTAGAACCTTCAACCTGGACTTCTAGCCTCTATAATTGGCAGAAAATAAATATCTATTGTTTGAGCTACCCATTCTCTGGTAGACCAAGCACACTAAGACATAGATCTTCTGCTATATTTGTGATTAATGTTTCACAATACTTGTTCTTGTTTCCTTAAATAAACAAGAAACTGAGGGGACAGAAACTGACTTATTTTTTCTATTCCTTCATTTATGCTTTAACACTTAGTAATAGTAAGAATTACTTTTTTTTTTTTTTTTTTTTGCAGTTTTGGCTGGGGCCAGGCTTAACCTGCCGCGCCTGGTATATGAGGCCGGCCCTTGAGCCACAGGTGCCGCCCAGTTTGAATATTTCTTTTAAGTAAACAACTAACCCTTGGGCACACCCATTGCTGTAACTAGGATACCTATTACTTGTAGGCTGGTAAATTCCAAATCTGCATAGGAGACCTTTTCTCCCTACTTCCCATCTTGGAATCAGGGTCCATGGACCCCTGTAAGCCTAGGAACTGCTGACCTCTCCCCAAATGTCCCACAAGCACCTCAAACTCCATGTCCAGAAATGGATGCCTCCCTGAGATGGCCTGGCCTTTTCTGCCCTGTTGCCGACTTGAGCTGGTGCCCTAGCTTAGACTAACTCCTTGCTCTTTTCCAGCTCTATCTGTGTCACCAAAGGGCTGACTCCAGGTGGCTGCATTTCCTAAGCTCCCTATGAACTGGTTTCCTGGTGGGACAGGCCACTGTGGGACACTGCAGACTGGAGTGCTTGGAATCTGGCAGTGGTTGAGCCTCCCTTGTGGCCCCTCCTTGGGCTCTTGTAGGGCAGCCTGCACCCTCTGTCCTTGCAATCTAGGGATGGTGGCAGCTTCCTGATGGTGGTCTCTAGGCTGCCTAGGGTACCCTGGCGGGTTTTTCAGGGAATTTCTTCCATCAGGCAGGGTGTGACCAATCCCTTCCTTTATTTCCTCTCTATGTTTTATTTATTGAAACAGAGTTTCACTCTGTCACCCTGGATAGAGTGCAGTGGTGTCATAGCTCAGAGCAGCCTCAAACTCTTGGGTTCAAGTGATCCTCTTTCCACAGCCTCCAGTGGAGTTGGAACTATAGGTGCCTGCCATGATGCCCAGCTCATTTTTCTATTTTTAGTAGAGACAGGGTATCACTCTTGCTTGGGCTGGTCTTAAATTCCTGAGCTCAAGCAATCCACCTGCTCTGGCCTTCTGAAGTGCTAGGATAACAGGTGTGAGCCACTGGGCTTAGCTGTTCCCTCTCTTTTAAAGGCTGCACACAGAGTAGTTGGGGTTTCTTGTTGGACTGCAGGTGACACCAACATCCATCTGCTTGGCCAGGCTCCTGTCTATCTTCAGAAAGAAATAGTCAACAAATTTTTCTAATATTACCTCTCAGGTATTTCTCAAACCATTCCCTCCCACTTTGTTTCCCAGCCTTATTGGAAGGGCCAAATTCATTGCTCAGACCACCAAGTAGAATACCGTTAAAGTGCATTTGAATGCCGAATCCCTTCTCCAGCCTGAGCTGCCTAGTGTAGCCTCTGATGGCCCCTGCGCTTGGCCCATGCTGGTCTAATTGGCCTCATTCCCAGCCACTCCCAGTTCTGGATCCTTCAGCAAAGCCAAATACAAATTACCCCAGCCCCAATCAGGCCACCTGTGCTCCAGGTTTAAGCTGGTCTTTGGCCTAGAATTCCCTTTCTGACTTGCCCTTTAACCCCCAACTCAGGCATCGGCTCCCTGGAGAAGTCTTTCTGATTCACAGCTCAGGTACTGCCTCCTTCAAGAAGTCTTTCCAGATTCCCTCCATCCCTGCCATTGGGTTGGAATATTCTGTGGACTTGTGTTCCCTCAGTCACTGTGACTCTGAAGAGCTAGGACTGTGTGTGTCTCTGGGTCTGGCACACTGCAGGTACACTGTGGGTAAACATTTATAGAAGAGAACCAAAGGGAACATGAAACGGTAGAGGGGAGACAAGTGAATAATCCCTAAATCCTGAAAGAGAAAACTAGAGAAACCTTGAAGATGAAAGAATAAAATATTCTAAATTCTAAAAAGCTGTAAGCAAAATGAATCAGGTTAGAACTTAACACAAGAAAAAAAAGGATGTTAACAGAATAGTAATACTGTCATCCAAAAGTCAGCTAGTTGGCTTCCTCTGTTGGAGATCAAGTTCAGGTGGACTGGGCCCCTGTCCCAGTTTCACAGCCTGTAAATGGCTGAAGGTTTGTGCTAATTTCTGGAGAGACCTACACTGCTTTTCTAACTATAAATGTGTAATTCCCCTTCTGACTTCTACATCAATCCTTGTGAGTTTGGGTTTCCATGAGCTGCCCTTGCCAGACCTCCCCATCCCTGACAATTCCAGTGTCTAGAAACTGCCAAACTAAGATTCACCTTTGTCTGGTCAAACCCACAAGCAAAAGCCACATGGTGGGGCTTCCAGAGCTGCCTTTTGGATCTTCTCTCCTCTGTGGACTTTTTCATGGATGCATTTGCTGGTTTGGCCAAAGAGCAGTCAATAGACCTTAAATCCCTGTGCTGGCCTAGGCTACTGGCCTGCCTCTTTCTGCCCTTCCCAGAAAAGATGTTCTTTCTGTGAAACAGCCAATTCACCATGCCTGTCGCTGGTGCAGTGTTCCCTGGATGCTTGGGAACAGCTCTTCTGAACTGCAATGCTCATCTCACATGACCTCCTGGAGGCCACTGCCTCCTGTCCACACACCAGCTGCTCCCCCCAGACTCACCCCATGCTGATGCCCACTTTTTGTGTGTGGCTACTCCTGATGCTGCCAGGCCGGGCTGGGTCTCCAGCAACATTCTGGCTATAGTTTGTGACATAGTGTCACTTTCTGTTGCTGTTACTGTCCTGTCAAAGCAGTTCATGTATCTGTGGTGGCCTCAGGACAATTTTCATTTCTTTTTTTTTTTTTTTTTTTTTTGAGGCAGAGCCTCAAGCTGTCCCCCTGGGTAGAGTGCTGTGACATCACAGCTCACAGCAACCTCCAACTCCTGGGCTCAAGCGAGTCTCCTGCCTCTGCCTCCCAAGAAGCTGAGACCACAGGCGCCCACCACAACACCCGGCTATTTTTTGGTTGCAGCCATCATTGTTGTTTGGTGGGCCTAGGCTGGATTTGAACCCACCACCTTAGGTGTATGTGGCTGGCGCCTTAGCCACTTGAGCCACAGGTGCCGAGCCAATTTTCAGTTCTTTTATGCCTCCTTTTGCCCCCTGCTCACGTTCAGGGGTCATGTGTAATAGGCCCAAAGTAATTTCTTCCCATGTCTAGGAATAAGGGGGACAGAGGATGAGGGAGTCAAAACCAGAAGCTGCCTGTAGAGGGTTGAATGGATACAGCACACACACGCACACCCCTCAAAATATGCTCAAGTCTTAAGAGCTGGTACCTGTGAGTGTGAACTTATGTGGAAACAGGATCCTTGTGGGTGCAATCAAGTTAAGGTGTGGACATCCGGGAGTAGGATGGGGCCTAACCCAGGGACTGTCCTTATAAGAAGAGAGGCCAGACAGAGGAGCCTGTGAAGTCAGGCAGGGACCTGGCGTTGCTGCCTCAGGCCCAGGACAGTATGGAGCCCCTGGAAGCTGGAGGGCAGGGATCCCCTCCAGGAGCCTTCAGAGGAAGTGCAGCTCTTTCAGAACTTTGAGCTCAGACTTCTGGCCTCCCAAACTGTGAGAGCACACACGGTTCTATCCTCATTAAGGCACCTGGCTTCAAACCCTTACGGCAACCACAGGAAAGTAGAGCCCTGCCCAGAAAGTCTATTCCAGGCAGCAAAGGGCCTGTGAGCCTGGTGGCAGGGGCAGGGGTGTTTCTGAGGCTAAGGCCTCCACACACACATATGTCACCAACATATTCCTGCTAAGGGATGTTTTCTTTGAAACACTAGAAAGTCTCCTCTAGAGAAAGCTGGGACACCCCGCTGACATCCATTCATTCGTTCAGGAAGAGTTAAGAGTGCCCACCACGTGCTCTCAGTGCTAAAATGCCCTGCGAACTCCTGGCCTTGGCCCCCAAATAAGGTCTGAGGTGGGCAGGCTGCCTCTGAACCACAGCAGCAATGCTGCTGCCCCACCTGATGGGTGACGCAGGACATTGGCATGGTCTTCAGCCTGTTGCAGGTGCTGACCCAGGCTCATGCCTGCAACCCTGGCGCTTTGGAGGTCAAGACAGGAGGATCACTTGAGGCCAGGATTTCAAGATCAGCCTGGGTAAAATAGTGAGACCTTGTCTCCACAAAAAAATGGAAAACTTAGCCAGTTGTGCTGTTGTACACCTATAGTCCCAGCCACTTAGGAGGCTGAGACAGGAGGATTACTTGAGCCAGGAGTTGAAGGCTGCAGTGAGTTTCACCACACTCTGTTCCAGGTGAAAAAGGGAGACCATGTCTTGAAGAAAAAAGAAAAAAAGCTCCTCATTAGCCCCCGGGGCGCTGGGTTCATGTGTTGCAATGGCCAGTGCTGCCTTGAGTGGGACACCTATTCTGGCATATCACAGGAAGCTAGGTGAGGCTTTGGGGCCCTGGGATTGCAGGGGCTGCTGTGACTGAGGACAAGTCATGGGGTCTGGGACAAACAGCCGAGCAGACTTGGATGCCTGGGGTGGCTGGGGAAGATGTCCCTCGTAGATAGGGTGACGGTGCATCCTGGTTTGCTCAGTGCATCCTGGTTCACACTCACTCTTTGTAGTAGCGTCCTTTTCTCCCTGCAAGGTATCCTTGTTTGGAAGATAAATTGCATAGAGATCAATTTTCCAGACAGTTGAATTTACCCTTTTTAAAATTGGGTAATTACAAGTTGTAACAAGGTCTCTTGGTGTATTGAGGTGTCCTGACTGAGACCAGGGTTCTGTTGTCATCATTACTTTACACTTTATAAAAAGGGAGGTAAATGTGCCTTTGTTCACCACACACACAGTCACACCCACACCCACAAACCCACCAATCAACCATGACAGACGCCCCTCTCCCCATAAGCATAAGGTAAGTTTTTACCTGCTGCTGGATGGGACTGACCTGCAGAAGGAGACTTGCTTCTGCCAAGCCCTTTGACAGAAGCTCCAGGTCCCTCGGCGGCCGAGGAAGCAGGCAGAAGCCTATGCCACTGGGAGCAGGCTGGGTCTGCTTCGCTTAGGTTGGGATCCCGGTGTCAGCATGTATGACCAGGTGACTGCACCTCCTGGCCTCTGTTTCCTCACCTAGCAGATGGGCAAGAGGACTAATTTTGCAGAATCAGCGAGCAATAAATGGGATACGGTACATGAAGTCCTTCACCCGCATCCTGAATACTGCCCGTGTTGGCTATTAATTAGAATTATGAGATTTATCAGACTGATTTCCTAAGCAGTGGCTTGGCTCAGGAACATTTAGGAGCAGAGTCTCCTGAGCTGGGGGAAAGACTACAGAAAGATGATGGGCAGGGCTTGTGTGCTAAAATGTGACACCTGCAGGCCTGAGATTGCTTTTCTTAGAAAGGCCTGCTTACAAGATTGGTGGCTGGACTCTAGATTCAGGGAGGGTTCCCTGATAATGGCTGTGACTCAACTGTTTGTTTATGCCAAACACTTAATTTCCTTCTGGAAGCCTGGAATTTTGCTACATGCCTTCAGTGACCAGCCCCCAGTAAAAATCTTGGGACCCTGAGTCTCTGACAAGCTTTCCTGATTGGCAGCATTTCATATAGTCATTGCTGGGGGATGGAGGCTAAGTGTGTGTGTCTCCCCAAGGAGAGGATTTTGGGAATCTTGGGCTTGGCATGCCCAAGACTTTGCTCAAAGGGGTTAAGCAACAGACATATATTGACCTATAAATAACTTTCAGCATTTGGGGGTTTTTTTTGAGGCAAGAATCTCACTCTGTTGCCCAGGCTAAAGTGCAGTGCTGTCAGCCTTGGTCACAGCAACCTCCGACTCCTGGGCTCAAGCAATCCTGCCTTGGCCTCCCAAGCTGCTGAGACTGCTGTTCCATGGTTGCTTCTGAACCCCATCTTTGATCCCATCCCCAATTCCTTAACACTCGCCCTCTCCGGCACTCACCCCAGCCTGACCCCTGCAGGCTCTGATGGGATTTGTCTTGCATTTTTGTTTCCCTATGTTAAGCAGAAAGGAACGTTTTCCCCACTCGTTACAACATGAAAATGTATAGAATTATCGTAAGTTTCAGAATGACATTTCCCTCCCATAATTTGTTTCTTCTAGGAGGAAAACTGCTATTGTAGCAAGATGCTTCCCCCAACCAAAGCACCTACGGCCGTCATTGCAGGGACTGAGGCCAACAGTGATTAGGTGAGCCCTGGCTCAGCACAAAGCTTGACCCTAAGGCTAAAGATAAACCTGGGACAAAGATAAACCTGTTCATACTTGAACTTCCAAGTCTTAATGCAAACTCTATGCCAACAGCAAATTGCCTACAGTAAAACTGATGCTGGTAAAGTATTATAACCTACTCTTTTAGGTTTTTTTTAAAAGGTAGATCAGGTAAACATATCCAGTAACAATTAGGAGGGGAAAGATGGTGCTCCTATTGTGTGCCAGAACCCGGGTGCAATTGCTCCACCAGCTCCAGAGTATTTCCCCAGCGGTGGTGGCTTCCCCCCTACCTGACCCCAGCCCCGAGTCCCTTCAGACTGGATCCCGTAATACCTGTCACTGTATTTCTGTCCATGTCTCTAGAGGTAGGTGTTATGACTGGTGAGCCAGGCTATCCACGATTGTCCTTTTCACTTTTCTTTCACAGAATGAGCAAGATTGAGGGGGAAACAATGGTGTCTGTTGGTGTTGCCAACAATCAGGTTACCCCATCTGCGGGTCTACAGACTGGTTTAAAACTGATTGCAAAGATCAACAAAACTTGGACAATGGTTGAAAATGGAGCAGGGATGTGTGGAGTTTGTCACACCACTCTCTGCATTTATTTATTTTTTCTGTTTGAGACAGTCTCACTCTATCACTCAGGTTAGAGTGCAGTGGTGTCAGCCTAGCTCACAGCAGCCTCAAACTCCTGGACTCAAGTGCTTAAGAGACAGGGTCTTGCTCTGTCACCTATGCTGGGGTACGGTGGCATCATCATAGCTCACTGCAGCTTCTAAGTCCCGGACTCAAGTGCTTCTCCTGCCTCACCCTCCTAAGTAGCTGGGACTACAGGTGAGTGCCATCATGCTTGGCTAATTTGTTGTTCTTTTTTTTTTTTAGAGAGACAGGGTCTCACTATGTTGCCCAGGCTGGTCTTACTCCTGATCCCAAGTAATTCTCCCATCTCAGCCTCTCAAAGTGCTCAGATTACAGGTGTGAGCCACCATGCCTGGCCCTCATCCCCATTCTTGAGCTACAAAGTGGTAGCTGCGAACATCAGATACAGCAACAGGGAGAGACGCCAGGTTCTCTTTGATAATATAGTTTATTGTCCATGGACCGAGTGATCGCTCAGGAATGATACAAAGCATCAAGAGACATGCGCAGTCTGCTTGTCCACGTCCACCGACTCTCATGCGTTCCCAGCACAGGAAGGTCTCACACTTCATATCCAGCATAAACACACTGCTCCCCCCGAAAAGAAAAATCCAAACGAAAACAAACAAAATCAACAAAGCTTTAAATTATGGCAGCAAGTCCGATATTTCTTAATACTTATCAAGCAAAGATCTGAAAATAGCTACAATGTAAACTTTATTTTAAATATTTGAGTTGCTTGCATGATGGAAAGAACAGAGGGAGAGAGGAGCAGAGCTTAGAATATAACACATAAATTAAACAGTGCCAAATGGAGATCCTTCTTAAACTGTAGGGATATTGCAGTTAATTCACTGTGAAGGTATCTGAGTGCCTTATCACGCGGCTGCCACAGGGCACTTCATCTTCATCTATCCCCCCCACCCCAGCATGGTTAGAAGACCAATGTGCATGGATCAAATATAAAGGCCAACTTTTGGAACAAACCTACTCAACAGTCCTTTACTTTGTAATAATTTGAACCAGAAAACCAACGGTGGGAGATAGGAAAAAAAAAAAAAGCAGATACTCAAAGAACTAAAGAGAACTAAAGACGAGATCTGAAGGAATCCACCATCATAGGCGAGCTACCACGCTTTCCACTCTGGGTCAGAGGTTTCCATGATACCGAGACCTTTTTTAAAAAGTGCAAGTCTAATGCCTACCTTGGGTAATAAAAAACACAGCACAGGAATGATTACAGCTGATGTCAAAAACAAACCAAAACAGGAAAAAAAAAAAAAAAAACCAAAAAACAAAAATCAGCAGAAACAGGAGTAAATGTTATATATGCTATCACCATACAGGAAGCCAACGGGGGAGGGTGTCATATTGGTTGGAGGGCTTGGTGTGTACATCAAAACCACAGACTGGTCCATTATGACATCTTACCAACTTCATGTCCCTATACAGCATGAAAATGCCCTGGGGGCAGGGGCTGATTCCTGGATACTCTCCCAGTCTGCCCTAGAAAGGGAAGTCATCGAGATCTGTGCTGACCAGGTCCCACATGAGCATGGGGGTCATATGCCACTTGGGGGTCAGGAGTCTTGCAGTTGCTTTGTGGTCGCTGCAGGCTTAGAAGATTCGGAAGCATTTTGCAGAAGGACCGCTCACAGGCTGCCAGACTTCAGTTGGATTGTGCGTGCGTGTTCATGTGTGTGCGTGCGTGTTCCCGTGTGTGCGTGCCTGTACATGGCTTGTTTTCGTAATGTGTGCGTATATCCTCAGAAAGTTTATCTTTACAACACAGGCAGGAGGATAAAAGAGATCATCTTTAACATTATTGGGAAAGTTCTGTCTTAACCCCCACTTTACTGAAAACAAACCATCCTTGGGGAATACACAGGTTCCCTAAGTTTCTTAACTGGGTAACCTTTGCAACGTAAGAACTATGAGCAGAGTTCACCTGCAGCTCTGGTTCATGTGCTATCTGAGAATTCATCTTTAGAAAAATAAGATGTCTCTGAAAACAGGCCACAGTGCCTTGGAGGCTCAGAAAGAAGAGTGTCACCAAAGCTGCCTACCTCTAAAATCCTTCCCTTCCTAGGTCAGACTTCTTAATATGCTTGGTTAGCGTCACCTGCAGAAATCCACACGTGGAATGATGACTGTCAGTCTTTGAGGGAGATTAGACTAAATCTGTCAGGGCACAGCAAGACCCAGCCTTTTCTGTTCTTAGGATGTGCGGCCAGGAGCACAGCCAGCCTCACCACTGGCCCTGCACAACCCGGGTAAGTAAAGCAAAGCTGTGCACCTCAATCCATGCCTGCTGGCAGGGATGGCAGGAGCGCGCTGACCTCAGGAGTGAACTGACCCCCCCATACCTGCCCTGAGGACAGGATCTCAGAGGTCCCCCTAGGGGTTCAGGGCTGGGGGGGGGAATGGGGGAGACCAAAAGGACTTGGCTGAAGCTGAAACATGGCTCAGTGAGGGCTTCTCTCTGCCACTTCTCTACTGGGCCCAGAGGGAAGCACCCACTGGAATTCTGTGGATTAACAGGATTAACTGGGCTCCTTTGAGAACAGGCCACTGGCTCCAGGGCTGCTCCTGGTTCAGGGGATTCCCTGGTGGGCCCAGGGGCGATGGGGGCACTTACAAGGAGGCAAGGGATGTCACTCTGTGGCCAGAGGTGTGGCAGCTGCAGAAACGAGGGACCTGGTAGGCCTGCTACACAGTCTCACAACAACCCCTCAAAAGTTTCTGCAAAACGCACATTTCCTGGCTCTGCCCTGACCAGGCCTGGGAGACCCTGGTGCTGCTCAGCCCTGCCTGCACCCAAGGATCAGAGACCAAGACACACAATGCCCAGGCCACAGAGGGTGTGTGGGGCAGAGACCCCAGGCCACCTCTCCCACCAGCCCTACAGCCATGTCTAAAGGGAAAATGGAGAGGGGGGAGAATCACATTAATTTGGACCCATGTGGATGACTGTTTTATTCATGCTGTTTCCAGGAAGAGATGTCAGAGCTGGACCAGTCTAAACCCTTGAAGGCTTTTCAGTTGGCCACAGGGGTGCTGGCAGCCTGCTTATGGGTCCTCGATGTCGAGAAACTCCTGCTTGGGGGGTGCCGCCCCGCGGTACCACGCGCAGGAGCCATCACTTCTCTTGATGCAGGCGAAGAACTTGGCCTGGTGCCCGTTGATGTTCTTCTCGGTGACCCAGTCCATCCAGAGGCACTCGTCCGGGGAGGAGATGTAGCAGGGGATCATGGGGCAGCGTGTGATCTGGGGGGCACATGGTGGGAGTTAATTGGGGCGGAGGAACAGGCTGGTGTCTCCTGGGCCCAGTGACGTACCAGCTGTGGAGCCCAAGGATGGCAGCCATTCTTGGGTCACATGCTCTCCATGCAGGGGCAGATGGGCTGTCTGAGGGTGGGGGCCTGGCAGGAAGCCTGTGCACCCACTCATTCCTGCATCCCCTATCCTGCACTTTCTACCCCTGCTGTAGGCACTCCTGCTCTGGGCCATCTGGTCCACCTTCTCTGACCATGCCCTATGGCTTCAGCTTACCATCACCTTGTGGGAGGGTGGGGGTTGTAAAAACCACAAAAGGTCTTAGGTTTCCTGGAGCCAGATGAAAACTCCTGCACTTCAAGCTGAAGCCTAAGCCTTGAGGTGATCAGCAACTAGCATTTTTGTCAAAGGTGTCAAAGGCCACAAGAGGGCGACCAGCTCCACCACCAGCTGGGTGGGGAGAACGGAAGGATCTGCCCTTTGACTTCACGTGGTGCACAGGGGACGTCTGTCTAATCCACATGGGCTGGGGACTGGTGCTCAGAAATCTGGTTTTGAACATGCTGAGGAGCTGGCAGCAGTCAGAGGGAGAGAGGGCCGTGTGGGGCATCTCCTGGTCCCAGACTTACATCTAGTAACGGGGGTGGGGGGGTGGGGTAGGGGGTGGGGGGGGTGGTGCCTGGTACTCAGCAATGGCCCAGGGCAGGGCATGGGAGTGATGCAGAGTGTACGGCCTGAGCCCAGAGGCAACACCCCCTCCCAACTGTAAGACTGAATGAGAAGAGAGGAGGGAATTTCAGGTGTGCTGAAGACAGACCTGATGATGAATGGGCAGAAACGTCTGGAATACTGGGGAGAGCGTCACACCTGCAGGGCTCTCAGGAGCACCTGTATGTCTCTAGGACAACACTGGGAGGACCATGTACTCCCATGAAATTCCCTTCCTAGAAGCTACTGGCCACATGGCTGGATTTGTGAGCTTGCCCTCAGCCTCCCTTACCTTCCAACATCCTCCACAGGTCTTAGGGCTCCCCAGGGACCAGGAGCCAAAGGGTCTGTCCCCAGGTGCATAGCCGTACTCCTGGGGCAGTCACCCCCTCCAGGACCCAATGGACTGAGAAGCCCTGGGGAGCCAGGGGTCAGACCCCCTGCTGGGGCCACAGTGACAGGGCCCCACTTACCTTGCACTCGCAGCCCATCTGGTACCTGTGATTCAGACTCTTCTTCTGGGTGGTGCTCAGGGTGTCCCAGGGCACGATGAAGTCACACAGGGTGATGTGTACTTTGCCATCACCCTCGGCTTTTCCTGAGGAGAGACACACCACTGCTCAGGGCAAGGAACACGTCCTCCTCGTCCTCCTCCTCTGCTGGCCACCGCATCCTAAGACCCCTCAGGGGGGTTGGGATTTAGTTCTAACAACACCATGGACTGTTTATCGTAAGTTTATAAAGAGCGCACATCCACTGTAGAAAACTTAGAAAATGCAGGAAGCAGCTACGTTCATCAGCTACAGTTAATATTTTGATGTGTTTCCTTCCAATCTTCACATACAAAAGATCACAGGCTTTATTTCCTATTTTTTCACTAATGTTTATTTATTTATTTTTTGCAGTTTTTGGCCGGGGCTGGGTTTGAACCCACTACCTCAGGCATATGTACTCCTTTGAGCCACGGGCACCGCCCACTAATGTTTATTCTTAGGCATTTCTCCTATTTGATATTGAACATGTAATTCTGCATTTTCCCATTATGATCAGCAAAAACATGGAATTGTCAAGAATTAGAAATCTGCCCTGAATTTGCTGCATCAGACACAATAAGCTGCTCTTGGCTCAGCTCCCCGTCCCTTTGCTGGAGATGTCACACTGGTGACGGCCCTGGCAGACCCAAGCAGAAGAACAAACAGCTGTGTCCTAGAGAGTGACAGAACCCAATGAGGGCTCCAGAGGTCATGTAAAAACTCATTCCTCCTGCTCCTGTGGCACCTTGTGAAGAGCCGAGCATGCCGGTGATGAGCTCTGGCAGAGACCCAAGGGCAGGTCCCCAAGAAGCAGACAGAGCCTCAGGCTGCGCCCTGAGCGCTTCTGCTTGACAAAGCTCCAGGGCATCCAACTTAATGATCTCAGGCTCTGGCAGCCCTGGAGAGCCACTGATAGAAACCCAGGTTAGCCAGTGGTAACACAGCCCTCCACCACAAAGTAATGGAACTGCGGCCCACTGCTTGGGAAACGGGCTGGCTTGCCCGAGGCACAGAGCAGGCACCAGTGGCGTCTGCTGTGCGGGAGCTCACATCACCCACCAGATTCCCTTCTCCTTTAGCTGCTGCCGTTCAGACTCGTGTGGCATTCTGGGTGAAGAAAAGCATCCAGATGCAGGATGACTGCTGCAGCACTCACTCTGAGTCCTATCACTTAGAAAGGTAAGTATTTGGGTGGCCTTGAACACTTCAAAAAGAGATACTTGACTTTTCTCTGTAGACCTGTAGCTATTTTCTGTGAGTTCAGGACAGACAGATGGCAAGTAACTCATCCTCACGTCCTGGTTTCCCCTGGCATCTGGACTGTGTGGTGTCCTGCAGCCCCTTCCCTGCCCAGCCTGGCCATTAATCCCCACAGTCAGGCCGACTTTCCATCCTGCTCCACTCTCCACCCTTCTATGGCCGTGTCCATGGTATCACCTGGCTAGCAGCAACACCCTCCTGGCCTTGATTATGCATCTTGCTCCTTAAACAGAACGTAAGCATGGAGGGTAAGAGTTGGGTCTTAACCCTTTCATATCCACAAAGTAATTGCTTGATAAAAGTCGTATTTTTTCTTTTTTTTGAGACAGAGTCTCACTTTGTTACCCTTATTAGACTGCTGTGGTGTCATAGCTCCTCAAACTCCCGGGCTCAAGGGATTCTCCTGCCTCAGCCACCCGAGTGGCTGGGACTACAGGTGCCCACCACAATGCCCGGCTATTTTTAGAGACAGGGTCTTGCTCTTCCTCAGGCTGGTCTCGAACTCATGAGTCCAGGCGATCCTCCCAGAGTGCTGGGATTACGGGTGTGAGCCACTGCGCTCAGACCCTCAATACAAGTTTACTGATGACACCGGGTGCTTGGTCTAACAATCTGCTTCGTATTTTGTTTTTTCCTGCTACCTTTCCTTTTGGTCTTTCACCACCTATTCAAGGATCCACAGAAGGCAGGGAACTGCAGGAGGTGGAAGTGACATACAATTGTATCTTCTCAGTGACCCTTGCGTATAAATGCTGTGGCATCTCACGTGTTGAAGGACCCTACCCAGTGCCACGCAGACTTGGCTGGGCACACATAACATGAGCGTCTGTTGCAGCTTTCTATGCATGTCCGTCTTGGAGAGAATCAAGGTGTGAGTCTCGGATATAGAGAAATAGGAATTAATTAAAATCTGTCAGTAGGGTTATATGTTTATTTTTCCTCTCAGGGAAGAGGACTGAGGAAAATTATAGGGCCAATTCTATATGAGTTTCTAAGCATGAGTCTCCCGGTGCCCATCTCAACATGTGAAGCTGAGTCACCAGCCCAAGGAGAGGTGGTCTGCCCTGGGCCGTGTGGTCACCCACAGGGCCACAGCTGGCTCTGGCCGAGTGGTTTCCTGTGCTCTGTGATTTCTGGTTAGCCCCTGGCTAATGGGCCCATCCCGACTGCAGGCAGCCTAGATCTAGGTTCCAGGCCTCACATTGCATCTGGAGTCATCTGACCAAGCCTGGGAAAGAAGTCGGATTAGTGAGGCTCCTCTAGGCTGGCAGTGAGTCAGCCTCTGTTGCCATAACTACCTCAGCCCTGCTCCCCATCCCAGGGAGAGGGGGCTAAAGTAAGGAGTCTTCATTGGTAGAGAAGATGTGCCAGCTGGCCTCTGGGCAGGCAGTCTCACGGCTGAGTGGCCCAAAGAATGGCCCTCAAAAGGGAGCAATCAGACCGGACATCAAGCTGTCCCAAACCGCAGGAGCAATAAACACCCTCCCAGCGGCAGCTGCTCACTCGCTCCAGTGCTCCTCAGACCCCAGCTGCAACCCGATCCCAGCTCACTCGCTTTTCATTCAGCGCCATGCTACACGTGCATGTCGCTGCCATCTCTAGTTTAAGAAATGATTTGCTACCCCCGGGCAAGCCTTGCCCAAGGTGCTAGCATCCTATGACAACCTTGCAGGCAGACGCTACTGTCACCGTCCTAGTCCAGTGACAGGCCCAGCAGCACAAACACGCAGAGTCGCCCAGCCCAGCATGACAGCTGGTCCAGTGTCAGAGCACAAGTTCAAACTCAAGCAGGTGTGTTTTCAAGCCCCCATCTCACTGCATCATAACCTTCCACCTTCTCATGACACTTATTTTTTTTCTATAGGAAACTGCTACCACTGGCACATGTAAACAGATGACACCATCGAACTTCCTGATGGCTCCCTGAGGCAACAGGGTCTGTGGTGTAAAGTGAAAGGAAACACACACAGAATTCAACTGAGAAGGACGTAACGTACTTTGAGAACTTAAAAATACATGTCCATAAAAAGGAAGGAAATTCTGACACCCCCTACAACACTGATGAACCTTGGGAATGTTACGAGTGAAACAAGTCAGTCACAAGAGCATGTACGATTCCTCTCGAAGAAGGTGCCTGGAGGGGCAAACACAGAAGCTGGTGGCCGGGGCTGCGGAACAGACACATGCTTAACATACAGTTTCTGTTTGGGATGAGAACAAAGTTCTGGAAACAGTGACAACATTGTGGATGTACTTAATGCCATCAAAGTGTACATTTAAACATGACGGGAACCTGTGTGTGTCATACTCGTGTATTGAGCTCCTGCTCTGTGGCCGGTTGGGAAGCTAAAACGTGCCCCACGTAACCCAGCTGCTTTCAGTATTAAATGTGTAGGAATCTAAGATGACAGGCAAGTGGGTCCTAAGTGTCTTTTCATGCGTTTCAATTTTTATTATGTGTAGAGCTATAATTGGGATAGTTTCAGGTTTTTAGCAAGCCTATAAAACGCTGGATTCAATTACTTGTCTGTTTTCTTGCTGAGACTGGGGACGATTTAACAGGCCTGTGTAGGAACAGCACAAGACACACATGTCACACGTTCACCTTTGATGGCAAAAATGAAGGACTGACTTCATCATGAGAGAAAATGTCAACGTTAACACACAGCAATCGGCATTATTAGGCTTTCCACATTTACTGACTCACAATGTTTCATTTGGCTACAGAAGCCTCTCCCTTTCAGAAAAGGGGCTGAGCAAACTAGATTCTCCTACCATGTCCCTAAAAATAAATAAAACTAAGTAATCACCAGTAAAATAATCATCCCAAAGCCGCCATGTGTGACCTCTGCCCTTGGCCTTTTCCTGACCTACACCCTCTGGCTGTGTGTCACAGTTCCTGATTGCTGGACATAGTGAGTTTGTAGAGTTTGTGGTTGTCCCACCTGGGGACCCGCCCAAAGGGCTCTGCAGTCCAGCCCTTCCATCTCATGGAATTAAGGGCAGTGCCAAGGTCCTCAGGATGTCCAGGCCTGAGTGACCACGAGGCCTCCTTCCTTTAAAGAGCTTCTGGTGCTCTGCAGTTTGGCCAGACCGGCCCTAGAGGGCAGCGTGAGCAGCACAGTTGGGATCCCCTCGGCTCTCATGACAAAAAGAGGACATGGAAAACTGGAAGCCAGTTCCCTGCAGCCTGGAAGGTTCTGTCTCCTTTATCTTCTCTCTAGATCTTATTTTTAGGATCACAAAAAAATACCTGCAAACATTTTTCAAAGTTTAGCAAATGTGGGAAAGTATTAAAAAGACACAGTTGGTGCTAACGTGCTGGCAGACCTCCCGGGCTGTCCTCTGTGCATGGGCACAGCAGTCTCTGCACCCTGGACGCCGGCACCACGTGCCACTGCGTGTGCTAAGTGATAGCTCCAGCCCTGTTGCCTTTTCTGCAGTTACTGCGATGGTATTAGTCAGCATGTAAGATCTCTGCACCACCAGTGACTTGGTCCCCTCACCTCCTTTCTCCATTTTATTTTTCTTACTATAAAATGATGGATACTGAGAAAGTAAAATGGTACAGCTGCTTTGCAAAACCTTGTGGCGGGTCCTGTAATGGTTAAACCTAGAGTCGCCACGAGCCACTGCAGTCTCACTCTCAGGGATACTCGGAGTAAGACGAAGACCTCTCTGCAAAAACTCACAAACGAGTGTTTGCTTTTGCATTGACCATGATCATCAATGGTGGAAACAGCCTCAAAGCCCGTCACATGATGACTGGATTAACAAGATGGGGCACAGGATGGAATGCTATTGTCACAAAAGGGGACAAAACTCTGAGACTCACTCTAGCATGGATGGACCCTGAAAACATGATGCTGCTTGAGAAAAGCTGGTCGCAAAAGGCCTTATTTTGTATGATCCCCTCCTTGGGAGGCTGAGGCCAGAGGACCACTTGAACCTAGGAGTTTGAGGTTGCTGTGAGCTATGATGACGCCCCCTAGGGGACAGAGTGAGACTCTGTCTTTACAAAAAAAAGAAAAGCAAACAAGAACACTCCCTTTCCCCTCCTTTTTGGTTCATCCGTCTAAAATGTCCCGTGAACACTGCTTTCCTGTTTCCTTCCACCAAGCCACGCTGGCTCTCACAGGGAGGAATGCCATGGGAAGGCAGCGGAAATTCACTAGAATTTTCTTTTCTTTTTTGAGACCGAGCCTCACTTTGTCACCCTTTGTAGAGTGCTGTGGCATCATAGCTCACAGCAACCTCAAACTCGTGGACTCAATGTCTCCTCCTGCCTCAGCTTCCCGAGTAGCTGGGACTACAAGCGCCTGCCACAACACCTGGATATTTTTTAGAGACAGGGTCTAACTCTTGCTCAGGCTGGTCTCAAACTCCTGAGCTTAAGCAATCCAGCGGCTTCAGCCTCCCAGAGTGCTAGGATTACAGGTGTGAACCACAGTGCCCAGCCTTATTGGAATTTTCTGATGGGAGACAGCGACTTCTGAATGGCACCATTCATGGTGTCCAGCTCTGTCCCACTGCCTTGTGGCTCCTCAGGCTGCCCCACCCCCCTCCCCAGGTGCCAGGGAGACCTGGCCCCTGTCCAAGAACAGCCACGCTCTGTACAAGCCTCTGGCCATGCCTCCACTCACACACACCTGCAATGAGATACTCCTTCTTCCCTCCGACATCCAGCGAGACCCCGCACACCGCCGAGGAGGGGGCTGTGTAGATGAACTCTATGTCCTTGTCAGGGCCTTTGAACATCTGCAAAGACAAGGGTGAGGAAATGTAAGGACCCCAGAACTCCCAGGATGGCCCAACCTGCACCCCAGTGCTGCCGACGGGGACAGGGAAAGGAAAGACACATAGAAGGCAGCTGTTCCTCCTGCAAAGTGGTCATCTGGGGTCACTCCATGGGTGGGCACAGCCCGTCACCCTGAAGGGACCTTCTCAGACTATACTTCTGCCCCCCAACCTCCATCACAACGAGGTCACTTTGGAATCACTTCCATGTGATTCTGGCCCACCGCAGAGACCACGACCCTTGCACAGTTCCAGGAATTTTGATGATGTGAAAGCAGACAGGCACCCCTGGAGTCAGGACGTAACCCTGTGGGCCAGGATTCTCAGCATCTGATTTATTCACAGGCTCTGGGGAACACACCTGCTGCCCAGGTGAAGGACAACCTTCTCCCAGCACTCTGGGAGGGCGCTTTTTGTTCTTTCTGGTAAGTTTCAACAATCAAACTCAAGTGGAACAGGCTCATCCCTAACATTGTGACAAATGAGCTTTTCCAGCTATTGCCAACTCACACCAAGAAAGGTCACACTGAGGCTGTATAAATGACATCCTCACCAAAAGGCTAAGAGCGCTCTGCAGCACTGACACCTGCCTGGCCAGGGCTCCTGGGAGTGGCGGTAAGATTAGCAGGTCTTTCTTCCTGCTTTGTCAATAGAGACTCAGACACTGAGAGACCAGGTTATTCTCTTGCCGGGACATAGGTGGGATGGTTGAGCATTCCACTAGTCTTCTGATAATATTCATTTTCTTTTATTTATTTATTATCTTGAGACAGTCTCACTTTGCTGCTCTTGGTAGAATGCCGTGGCATCATAGCTCACAGCAACATCAAACTCTTGGGCTTAAGAGATTCTCTTGCCTCAGCTTCCCGAGGCACCTGCCACAACACCCTACTATTTTTAGAGAGGGGGTCTCATTCTGGCTGAGGCTGGTTTTGAACCTGTGAGCTCAGGTGATCCACCCATTTTGGCCCCCCAGAGTGCTAGGATTATAGGTGTGAGCCACACATCTGGCAGTATACATTTTCTATTGCTTTTTATTTTTATAACAAAATTAAGTATGGAGCAGCTGTCCTTCCACTTGGAACCAAGAATTTTCTTCTTGGCCAGGTATAATGGCTCATGTGTGTAATCTTAGGATTCTGGGAGGCCAAGGAGGATGGACTGCCTGAACTCAGGAGTTCAAGACCAGCCTGAGGAAGAATGAGACCCCATCTCTCCTAAAAATAGAAAAATCACTGGCCAGGCATGGTGGCTCATACCTGTAATCATAGCACTCTGGGAGGCCCAGGGGGATGGATTGCCTGAACTCAGGAGTTTGAGACCACCCTAAGCAAGAGCAAGACCCCGTCTCTACTAAAAATAGAACAACTAGCTGGGCCTATAGTGTCAGCTACCCAGGAGGCTGAGGCAAGAGAATCGCTTGAACCCAGGAGTTTGAGGTTGCTGTGTGCTATGATGATGCCACAGGACTTTAGCCTGGGGCAACAGAGCAAGACTCTGTCTCAAGAAAAAAAAAAAAAGAACTTTCTTCTCCTGTAGACCAAGCTTGTTACTGACAACAGTAGCTTCAGCTTTCTGCTCCAGCACTGGGTCCCGTCCTGCGTACCACACTGCTCTTTCCCCCGCCTCCCTCTCAAACATGGGTTTCCTCTACGCTCCTGAACACAGGCAGTGACCTGAAAAACTAACAAATGCCCAGCCACCTCCCCTCGGCCTGCAGCCCCCCCCCCCGACATCTCCTCTTCTCAGCACCTGGTCCACTCCGCTCTCCATTCCTTCCCCACTTCCCAGAAGCTGCCCCGACACACCTGGCCACGGGATTCCTTCTTTCGCCAAAGCCCCTCTCCTCTTAGAGTGGTGGTTCTCAACCTTCCCAATGCCGCGATGTCTTTTCATTGTTACAAAGGGGTTGAGACCCTCAGGTTGAGAACCGCTGTCTTAGAGCTTATAGCAAACCGGGCAAGTGTGGACCACACACAGCGGTCTGGGGGACTCAGGGCACACTCTCTCCCATCAGCTGTGGTTCTCAGGGCCAGTGACCAAAACCCCATACTGCCTTCCATCCAACCCCATCACAGCTTAGCCATGGAACATTCCACAGATGCAAAGGTGAACTTGAGGATTTCAAGCAGAGGCCATGCCACAGATCTATTCCCTGTCAAAATGAAGGTGACAAGTTTCTCAGACAGTTGCAGTCACCAGGAACATACCACTTCCACGCAACTTCTCAGGTGTGTTCAGATTAAGGAAGATGAGATCCATTTGTGGCTTGGCCGTAGTTTCTGCTCCACAGTGGCTGGACTGCGTTCTAGGGACCCAGCTCTCTTCCCAGCCCCCAGCTCCACCCCACCCAGAGGCAGGGGTCACATTACCTTTATCTGTTTGATCTCGTACTGAATCCTTTTGATGGGGTTGCCGTAAATATCATTCCCAGAGTCCACCTCCTTCACGCTGACCGCTTTGGCCCTGATCACTGCAAAACACATGGACCCAGAGGTGAGGAGGGTTTCTGAGAGGTGGTCCTCCTGCAGGGTGGGGGCTGGGGCCACTGCGAGGGGGAAGGTGGCCGGCACCACCCCACTTGGAACCAGGAACGGGGTGACCCTGCCCCACGTAGCACCTGACTACAGCACAGGGACAGGTGACACCCTGGGCCTCCTTTTCCTCCCTTAAGAGCCTTTCTGGGTAGACGGGGGCCTGCTGGCAGCTCATGACCAAGGGGGATAGTCACTGACTAGACCAAAGCCTATCTTGATGCCACTCACGGGTGCTTTGGCTCTTCCCAATGTGTGCTTACTGGTGGCTGGGGACACAGCACACAGATGATCAAGCCTGCAGCCCACCACTCAGGTAAGGGTGGACATCCCTGCCACACTCCACCTGTAACTTCTCAACAAACAGGCTTTTTTGGGCCAAGGACAGAGGGGTAGTTGCCTCCCTTAAAGGAGCCCAGCACATTTACATCTAAAAGTCTCACCCCACTGCCTTCCTAGTCTGTCCTAAAAGTCTCCCCAGAAGACGGCCTATGGCTGGTTCTCTTTTTGAGACAGAGTCTCAAAAGTTGAGTACTGTGGTATCATGGCCCAGCAACTTCAAACTCCTAGGCTCAAGTGATCCTCTTGCCTCAGCCTCCTGTGTAGCTGGGACTACAGGTGTCTGCTATGAGGCCTGGCTAGTTTTTCTACTTTTAGTAGAGACAAGGTCTCACTCTTGCTCAGGCTGGTCTCGAACTCCTGAGCTCAAGCAGTCTGCCTGCTTCGGCCTCCCTGAGTGCTGGGATCACAGGTGTGAGCTACTGCCTCCAGTCCTACGGCTGATTCTGAATAGTCACACACATCCCCCTGGGGCACAATGGGGCTGGGTCAGAATGTTTGTTTTTGCCCAAAGGACACAGCCTGGGTAGGAGATGCCCTCAGTGGTGGCGGGCAGACCTTAAGGGACAATGAGGAAGGAGGAAAGAGGAGCCTGGCCACCACCACAGACAGGGGAAAGGGTGAGAGGTCGGGCTGGGAAGGTTCTGGAACATTCTAGAGCCTGTGGCTGTGGATGGGCTGGGGCTCTCTACTAGCAGTTAATCCAGGACACTATTCCACCATTTGGAAACTCTGGGGGATCCTCCCATTTTTCAGTTTAGGACTTATCAACTAGGGCACGGCATGTTTTAATGGCTTTAAAAGCTTTGCCCTCCAAAGTTCGGCTGTGCAGGGTCATACTGGCCACGTGTCCTGTTAGTGTAGACATGAATAAAAAGCAGAGTAAGAAACAGACAGTGCCAGGAAGCCTCTCACCCCCAGCCCCAGGGGTCAGCGCCATCTCCTGAAAACTCCTGTCTTTTCCCTCAGAGGCAGGGAGGCCCAGTAGGTGGATGCTGTACCTATATCCAGCCCCCGGGCCCCAGAAATACTTCCAAGGTCCCAGCCCAGCACCAGAGCCCTGCACCACAGCCTGCTGCCCCACCTGTGTCCAAACCCCTTTTACTTCTCCTCTTGGAGCTGAGTCATGACTTGCCAAAGCCACAGCTTCCTGTTTCCAGGGTTAGCCAGACCTTACCCCAAAAGGCCACATTTAGGAAATGCTGCCTGGTGTCCCCTCAGCCACCAGAAAACTCCCTCTCCTTCATCTACTACCACCAGTTGTCTCTTTATATTCACATCCCTTCCAGCTTCAACCTCCGCCTTGGCTGCCCACTGCCTCTGCTGACAACACGAGACCCTTGATGCCACCCTGTCACCTTGGCGGCTGCAATCCAATAATTCCAAGCTCTGTTCTTTTGGGTCCACTGGTCCATGAAACGTCCCCACTCAGAATGTGCCCAGGTACATCCATGCTTCTGAATAACCAAGTTTCTTCTGCCCCAAATGCCATCCCCCCTCTCTACCTGGAGAACTTCTACTCATTCCTTAACTAAAATATCCCTTTTCTGTCTTTTGCTGGGAAATCCTGTCCTCCTGCAGCACTTGTTCTATCCTCCACCTCTCATCCATCCTGCCATCAACACCTGCATGCCTGTCTGCGCAGGGCCCCTGGGAGGCTCTGACTGTGGCACGGTCTATGCTCCCTAAATGTCTGCCCGGCATAACCGAGCTGGACCTGCTGACACTGGGCCGAGGGCCCAGGTGAGGTCTATCTTTGGTCCCTCTTCCTACCTGCCTAATCTCTACACCTTATCACAATACAACACACACAAAAAATTATGCAAATCAGCAAACACACACAATTAACTTTGACATTAGTTTGCTCTTCATGTAGCAAAGTCGTCAGCTCAAAAGCAAACCAGCAAAATCAAAAGGAAACAACGGTTCCAGGAGGAGCAAGAAGCTGGACCTTACCACAGTCTACTGAATTCTACATGTGTTTTGGAACTTTTTGGAACCGCTTTTCAGTGGTCAGCTACATCGCACCACTAAGGCCATTCCAGCTTCAACGGCCTGGAAGCACCTGATCCAGGCAAGAAGATGAGCCACTGAGGCCTGGCTTACTGTCTACAACAGGAGTCCAATCCAATCCACATACCATGGGGGATCAGGAAATACTCAAAAATTACTCTGCGAGCCAAAGGTGATATTCCATTCCATGTGCTATGGTCCATGCACTGCCCTCTTATAAAACCTGTTAAGACGCCCAGGCAGAGTCTGGGCCCATGTTTGAAGGTGGCAGTAGCAGGGACAGACCTTGTGCTAGCTGCTGACTGTGTGGTCTCAGAGGCCACAGGTGCTCAGAGAGTCTACAGTGGAGATAATAACCAGAGGCCTGCACCCCCTAATGGTGCGGCAAGAACCGGAGAGGTCAGATGCCTGGACACAGCACCTGGGAGCAAATGCTTATCCAGGTCAGGACGAGGAACATGGACAGCATCACAGAGGAGAACAGGGCACCCTCTCCCACCCCTGGGAAGGGTCAGGTCTGGGAGACGGTGTCACAAGGCTTAGGTACAGGGATACTCTGTCCTGCTCTTGACACCAAATAGACACTCAGACTCTGGATTTGATGCTGCTTCCCAACAACCGTGCTTTGCTTCGAAGCTGTGGAGTACATACCTTCTTCTTTCAAATTGTCAGAAGAGGCTGCTGGAATCAAGGGCCCAGGGCAGATTTGTAGGGTAAAGCCAGAAATTTAAGGCTGAGGCAGCCAGATGCGCACAGGGAGGGAGGGAGGGAGGGAGGGCCAGAGACCTTGACTCTCTATCTCCAACCCAGCTGCCTCAGCCTCTCCACAGGGACCCAGAATTCATATGCTTCAGGTGAGAATTCAGGGTGGGAACCTCCCCCACCCCACTTTGCAAAATGAAAGACTGTGTGAAATAAAGGGGAACTGGGAGAGGCAGAGGAGGACCCTGAGTGCATGGAAACCTTCCCCAATCCATTTACACCCCCAGAGATGAGCCACTGAGGCCTGCTACCAGCTGTGGCTGGCACACACCTGTGGGCACAGTGGGGTCTGGGCACAGTGGGGTCTGGGCAGCAGCAGATGGAGAAAGGGGTACAGGGTGGATCTGGCATGTGGAAGGCTCCAGTGAGAGACCTTGCCTTGGAGAAGCACCTGGTCCAGACAGGGAAACAGAAGTTGTTTCCACCTGCCACCAGTGGGCAGGAAGGAGGCAGGGAGTATCTCCAGAAGATACTTCCACGCCCATGGCCTTGGTCATCATTGTGAATGCCCTGATGGACCACCAGGATGGGAGGCAAAAGGAGGCCACTCACATGAGGGAGGGCCCCTCGGGGGTCCCAGACCATTTAAGAATAGACAAGCAAAGAGATACAAAGGTTCCAGGAAGAAATTAAAAAGGAAGACTAACTAAATGCCTACTATGCAGGGCTGGTGCTGGGCGCTGAGCCGGGGTCAGCGCATGTCCTGTCTGCACCCCTGGGGCAGTGGGCTGCTCTCCCCCACGGCCCCCTACCCAGGAGCCAGAGGCAGTGGCAGGAGGGAGTTTTTATACAGATGCTTGTTCTAACTGCTGTGCCCCAAACCATGGCCTCTCCCCATGCGGCTCAGATTTCATTTTCTCTTCTTTCCCTTCTGCTGTTAACACAACATCTGGGTTTGAGATCAAGGGTGACACACTGGCTGATGAATTCACTGCCAGATGCTGGCTACTGGAATGTACAACCGTCGGCTGAATTCAAAGCACACGCAACCACAGAGTCCCCACCCCCACTCCTCCAGCCGAGGATACCACATGATGTCACTTCCCCCCACAAGGAGCCTGCAAAACCGATCCCTCATACACCCAGCCAGGCTGGGGATGGAAAAGAACTGGGTGGGTGGGAAACCAAGGTCATGGAACATGATCCCAAAAGGATGGGCGATGCTCAGACTGGGAGAATCACAGCCACCCAGGTAAACCAGCCACACTGTCTCTAAGTAGGGAATGAACAGCAAGGGGGCTTGCTGGAAAACTCAACAGATCCCAGCCGTGCCCAACCCCGGGCTGAGATGCCAGGCCCTGGATGCACTGTTCTCTCCTCTCCTGTCCTCCTGCCTTCTCAGCCCCTCTGCTGCCACCGTGACATGTCTCTGTGTCCTGAAGTCCCTGTCACACATCACATTTTGAATCCTACATGTCCAAAGAATCACCATGGAAGTTCCTGGGAAAAATAAGACCAAGCCCATACTCGACTAGGGGTGGGGGAGTTAGACTCCCCAAAGGAAAACTGCCCCTGGGAGTTGGCTAGCTCAAGCTTGCTGAATTCTCTTTATGATCTTGTCTTTAGCCCAGCGGCTCTCCGGAGGAATCCCATGAGCTCTGTATACAGATACATCCTGCGGGGCTGTCCCCCTCTGCGCTGCTCTGCTGGTCCCCATCCAGGAGTCCAAGTAAACCTGTGATCTGACCTGCAGATGTCCCTGGCCCTGACATGGTGTTCCACACACCCAGGTCCCTGCGGAGGCTGAGCTTCTGGCTAAGAGATCAACTCAGGAGTCAAGAGGGAAAAGGTGGCCCACAGTCCCTCAGAATCACCCGTCTGGCCA